CCACGCTCTCACAGAATACCAGCGTCAAATAGCTGCTTCATGCTGCTGTGTTTAGTATGGTGAGTGTAGAGAACCGGAGACCCTTTTTACTGGAAAAAAGGCATTCTATCTTAATCCTCACGGGTGACAACGCATCTGCATTTTGATTCGCAAACGACGATAAATGTAGATGTCTATGGGCTACAGCAACCACTTACCATCAGGTGGACTGTGTGCTCGTTTGTCACCTTATCCTATAAAAAAAAAATAATAACATTATTATCGCCTTTCTTGTATTTCACGCGTAATTATTTTGATAATGCGGAAAATTAGTTTTAAATAACAATCTACAATCTATTATCATAATAAACAATTATGTCACGCGACTTTATAAGGAGCGGCATCAAACATTGTTTAAACTCTTGTATGCCGTTATTTAAGCTACATATATACTGATTTACGTCCATTATTGATCTGTGTAATTTATTTTAACTGTTTTGGTGTAAACTCAATTTTAGAACTTTATAAGATAAGGTATGGTAGTGGAAGCTATTCTATATATACTGCTTTTACTTCGGAACTATGTTAGCGCGATTTAGGCTTCTATGTATTTATTTATGACGCGACGACAGCGTCGCCACAAAGATAAATATTTAGTTTCAGTTTCTTGTTAACTACAGTAGTTTAATCTTAAAATTAGTATTAAATTATTTCTTTAAGATTTGATTTATTTTTATTATATATTAAATTCGTATTATGTTTTGGATACTATATTAAATAAGTATATAGTTAATAAAAACTAACTTTTCGCAAATTTGTTTAATTATAACATTCAAGCGCGTAGACGATTGATAATTTGCCTGAGATACAGGATTGTAGCTTAGTTCAGGCGCAGATGCAAATGTTGTAAAAGAATTTCGGAATAAAGGAATTGTTATTATTTATTATTATTAATTTCTTTGTTTTTTATCTCCCGTTTTGAAGGGTTAAGAAAGATATATTTAACGGGCTTAATACCAAGCTACAATGATATGTCTTATGTTTATGGAAGCTATAAATAAATTAAAATGTAAAAATATGTATATTTCTGATGTTTTCTTACCTATCATAGGACATAAATTTACGCACAATCACGAATCCTATTTGGATAATTTTGTATATATTATTATTATAATATACTAGTTTTCGCCCGCGACTTCGTCCGCGTAGATATTATACTTTAAACAATAGTTGACACTTTATATCTTGCAGATGACAGATTTTTTCCGACTTACTTAGCACTTATCGTTATATTTTGACTAATTTACACAATATCCTTATTAATTATAGCCTATGTGTTGTTCTGATGTTTGAGCTATATTATTGTAAAGTTTCATTAAAATGCATTCAGTAGTTTTTACGTGGAAGAGTAACAAACATCCATATATCCTCACAAACTTTCACGTTTATAATATTAGTAGGAATAATAACGGGAAGTAAACTCTACGGTGGCCAACTACTCAGATATAGTAAAATTTATATGGAATAAATAGAATAGAATAATTTTAACTAATATAATTTTATTTAATTCTAATAGAAAGTAATTTTTTTACTTCGACCACTGCTTCGTAAAATGCTGCATACTTTACAAAGCTTCGTTGTGAAGAGAAACACGTAATGGAGTGTACCTATTACTTAGTGTCGTGTCATGATAGTGTTTAAAAATTGGTGTTAATATTTTTGATTACATTTAATTTTTTCATGCGGATCGTAGTAAACTTCACTTTCATATATTAAACGAATATAAGTCAAAACAAATTAAAAACAGGAAAACGGTAAACACATTTCTTTCTCTTTTACTATATAGTGTAGTAATGATAGTAAGTTCCTCCATTTTAGTTAATTTAATAATCCCAGATTCTCTCCTATTACAATGCAAATGTATTAACAGTTTGCAATAGAACAAAATGAATGTCAACACCTTGTTACCGATCTAGCAACAGGTGCACACTTCGCACATACTCATTACCTTACACAATAGAACATTCAATGGCTATATGCAGCTCATTTTGGTGTCTGCTTGTTCGGAATATGCCCGCAGTTGTTTCGACATGGCCTCAACTCAGAGCGGCCAGCACATCAGTCTCCTTTTAATTATATTCAGTCCTTTCTCGTCTACCACACGATCGCTTGAACACATTCATACGTATATTGATCACGTACTGTCTCTTCGGAATAAAACTTAATACTTATTTGATGACAGAAAAGACACGTTGTTGGAGGACACCGACTGAGTCACTCATTGTGACTAGCTGTTTTCAACAAATAATGGAACTATCACAAACGAATAACAAACAGTGTATAATGATATCTACCGACGTTAAAATTTTTAAATATTTTTTTTAAAAGGTTAACCTATTCAACATTACTTTCCTTTCTTTAAATTTTGATGTTTACATTGCTATAAAGTTTTTTTTAAAATTGTGATAATATAATTCTCTCTTAAAATCATCGTGACTGCAACTTTAACAAAATGGTAAGAATTAAATCTTGGTTATTCGTGTACACTACAAAAATAAATACGGAACCTTTGTTTAATAGTTGTAGTGATTCTATAAATATAAAATAATCATAAGTTTGTAATTTGCGTGTTATATTTTGTATTGATTGGTATTTCTGTAGGCGAATTTGTCTGGGGTAGTATGAAAACTACAGTGCATCCACTATTTTGTTCTTTTTTTAACGGTAGAGAGCGTATATTATTACTGGCTCTTCAAAAATTTCACTATAGTCTTCGAAGGTGACAGCACATTTTTTTACTGGAAACGAGGCATTCCATCTTACTCCTCACGGGTAACAACGCATCTGCATTTTTTTTTAAAAAAAACGATACCCCCAAACTGGTTTTCTCCTGAATCGTGGAGGCAGTTTACAAACATAAATTGCACAAGGACAAACATCCAGACCCGGAACAATTATTTGTAGGCCATACAAATACTTGTTCCGTGCGGGATTCGAACCCGCGGCACCCAGCGCAACAACTGATTGCTAAGCCACTGCGCCACGGAGCCGTCGTTTCTTTATGTTGATTCGTAATCGAGGATAGATATAGAAATATCTATTGGCCACAGCAACCACTTATCGTCAGGTTGTACTGTGTGCTCGTTTGTCACCCTTATCCTATAAAAAAAATCTGTGCCCCTTTTTAATTAATATTGGCTATAGATCTCCACGGGCTACAGTGGTCACTTATAATTATATAACGAGGTGGATTGTTACAGCATTTGTCGATGCAGTATTTTCTGCTTTCATAATTTTTCTTTCAACGAAATACTTTTCAAACATTTCCATAATACCCAAGTTCACTCCTAGATAAGCCTTTCTTTTATTAAAGAACCATTGCAAAATGCCATTTTTGATAATTTCCTAATTTTTTTTTATCCGACTGCTCTTATAGTATAGGTTTAAGTTTTGCATGTGTGTTTATATAAGTACGTCCGTTACTTTGTAACCCACTTTTACGTAAAAGTCTTGACAGTTTTTAAGTACTAGGTCTCGTTAAATATGTTTTCATGCCTTCATGTTTAGCCTCGGCGACTTACTACAATCGTTAACTCACATATAAAATTGGTAAATGGTAGGAATGTATTTTCGTAGGAAATTCTGCGTATGAAACATTATCTTACCTAATTCTGCTGCCAAATAACGGCGCGTGCCTTTTATTACAAGCATTTGAAATGGGTTTTACGAATTGAAATAACATTTAAGGATTTTTTTTTGTATGCATATTTTTATAACATCGTAAATTAACATAATTTAAGCCATACCTATACACAATATTAATAATTTTAATGCACAAAAGGCATTAATTAAAATTATATACATAAGTAGTAAGTTTTACGTGGTAGAGCCATGCTGCAGCTATATTAGTAGTATAGTTGTAGTACGAATGGGTCGGCTCGACCGGGGAAGGACCACGCTCTCACAGAAAACCAGCATAAAATAGCAGCTTAACGCTGCTGTGTTTCGTATGGTGAGTGTAGAGAACCGGAGACCCTTTTTACTGGCAAAGAGGCATTCCATCTTAGAACTCACGGGTGACAACGCATCTGCATCTTGAGTCTTTATTGAGGATAGATGTAGATGTCTATGGGTTACAGGAACCACTTACCATCAGATGGACTGTGTGCTCGTTTGTCACCCTTATCCTATAAAGCAAATAGACTAATAGTATTCAAATGATATACTATATAGGCCATTTAGTATTGAAATTATATTACAATGCTCGCAACGAAAGAATTCTTGTGCAAAACTGTAACCACTAACTAAAGTTTCATAACAAGCGAAAACCGAAACGTGTAACCGCAGAAGAGATTGATTTTGCCGCTGTTTTTGCTCCCGCTGTAAGTTTTTCATATTATGGCGGCAACTCAACCATTATTAACATAACGAAACCGAGAACACAATAGTGCGACATGTACTCAACCGATGTCGTTCATTGTGACGTTTGACGCGAGACAAATTGCAATTGTTACAGAACTTCCTCCGCACTCATCGCTACATCAAAACATGTGTAAAGTCACTTCAACCACCTGACGATAACATCATTCGGTAATTTATTATCTTCATATAGGCGAAAAATAGTAATTCATGATACGCCTGAAATAAAACTTTTGTTTACTATACGAAGAACACAATCACGAAGGGCGATATACTGCCCTCAAGTAAATATACAGGCTCGCACTTTCTCTGAATTACCTGTACGAGTATCCTACATAACGCTTATACGATAACAATATTAAAATACTGTTATTATATTTAAATATAGATTGAATACTGTATGAAACCAAAAGACTTCAATATTTTTGCATTGAAAGCTGAACAATAAGTCTCTGAGTCATTTTACGTCATGTTAGAGATAATTGTAATATTACGTAATAATTATGAATATACACTGCTACTTTTGGACAATTAAAACATTTAACTTGCAAATAATAATTTATATTTATTTCTTTGTACAGGGCAAAAGGAGGTAACACGTTATGACTGCTACGCACGGAGGCGGCTGCGAAGACGACCGGCCAGACAAGGAATCTGTATATACAATTAAGACCGGGTTCAAAAACGATGCCTACCAGCACGACAGGGATTCGAACGACGATATCGTTAAGCCTCCACCGCTGCCGACTGAAGAGGACTCGTACGCCACGGGAAAGGTGAAACTATCGAGAAATGAAAAATGGAGGATATTAAAAAACGTGGCGGCGGTGAGCGCCGCCTTCATGGTCCAGTTCACCGCCTTCCAGGGTACGGCGAACTTGCAGTCTTCCATCAATGCCGCAGATGGACTCGGTACAGTTTCACTGAGCTCAATCTACGCCGCGCTTGTCGTGTCCTGCATATTCGTTCCCACGTTCCTTATCAAAAGGCTAACCGTGAAGTGGACGTTGTGCCTTTCTATGATGTGCTACGCACCTTATATCGCTGCGCAGTTCTACCCGGCTTTCTACACTCTGGTCCCGGCTGGAGTAGTCGTAGGGCTGGGAGCTGCGCCTATGTGGACGTCCAAAGCTACGTACCTGACCCAAGCTGGTAGCGTCTACGCGAAGTTAACGGACCAGGCGGTTGACGGTATCATCGTCCGGTTCTTCGGCTTCTTTTTCCTGGCTTGGCAAACCGCTGAGCTGTGGGGTAACCTTATATCTAGTTTGGGTAAGTCAATTATATAATATTTTTTCGGTATAAATTCAATTAAACGTTGCATAAGAGCATTCCAAGGAAATCTAAGTACGTACAAATTTTCACCAGAAAGAAATCATATGGAAGAAAAAGATTAAATTGTTATAATATCGTGCTTTTCTATATAATCTAGGCATTTCCCACACACCGTTACTATTCATATAACCTCATGGGTTTATATATATATATATATATATATATATATATATATATATATATATATATATATATATCTGCAGATAATTATTTGTTTTTCTGAACCAATAACAAAAAGAAAAGAGTACCATCAATATAAAGAGTATCAGAATACAATCTACCAAATATTAACAAAATTTTTATTGAAAATCTTTGATGCATGAATAGGTAAATTATAATACGTATTACACAATTTTTAGGTTTAATATTAATAATTCAAATAATATTAGATAATATTTATTCCGCTATTTTCCTACTTTTTTGCCGTGCCAATATTTAGATGGAACTGTGCTACGGATTTTTTACATCCATTCAAACTTCTTGGATCGTTTTCATGCAACAAGAACAATTTTTTCAGCGGTTTAGCCGTATCCAGTGATTGTTTGATACTGGGTGATTCGAGCTCATCGGTTTATTCCACCTGAATGTTGATCTGTTGACCATTCTTGTCTTTCATTGCAGCTCTGAGAATTTCTTCGTCAGTCAGCTTCGTGGTTGTGGTCAGTTCCTCATCGATGGAAACAAAGTTCTACAGCTCCTCGTTAGTAAAGGCTACTGTCACTTTAAATTGTTGAACGCACTTGCTAGCGGCAGATCATCTCCTTTCGATTCGGATTCCTGACTTGTATCGACGCCTGCAAAACCAGTTAATGGACCAGCATGGTGAAAATAATGCTGTATTGCTGCTGCTGTCACCTCACCCCAAGCTCTGCTCATGAAGTTCACCGCTTCCAGTAGTATATGAATGGAGAACTTTTCATCCGATTCATAATGTAAATTAATATTTTTTTCTGTAGTAGCTTTTAAGGCTCTAATCCATCGGTTGTAGTGTTCGTGACAAAATATGGTTAACTCTATGTTTTGAAGACTGGAGATAGCAGGATGAGCAGGGCAGTTGTCCACAATTAACTCTGCGTCCCACCTCCGTACTTCTTCCTCAAAAAGTAGCGTCGTCATCGCGCATGCACTACTTTTTTGCTTTATAATAGACCGGCAACCGTTTAATGTTCTTGTTTTTTTGTTGTTCCAATCAAAGCTTATGTTGGCAGCCATAAGTGCCGTTATACGTTCTTTAAAGAGTCTATCACTCACGTATTTTTCAGTTTTTAGCTTTAGCGTATTATCTGCTGTCAATTTGTAAAAAATGCCAGTTTCATCGGCATTAAAATTGACGTCGGGAGAATACTACGCCTTCATCTTTAGCCATGTTTTCTTAAGTCAATCCGTTTACGACGTTTTCGTTGAAATCACGGGCTTCTCCACTCATCTGGCCGTAGATTATATATCACGCCTTTCAAATTTTCCGAGGCATTCTTCTGAGGCCTTAAGGTCTGTGATACCGAGCTGTTCGGAGAACTTTTCAGCCTTTGATTTTACAATAGTCCCAGTGATTGCCATAATGTTGCCATATATAGAGATAAAGTTTTAAAAAATATATTTATTTTATTTATTGAATTCCTTATTTATATAATGTATTCAGATTTTTTTTATATTGGGTTTTAATAATGTGTGCAAAAATTGAGTGAGCGTCGAGTATGACTAATATTATTTCTCTTTGGTGCAGTATTTTCATCTGGGGTACATAATACCAACAAATCGATGGATAACACGAGCAGCACGGTCCTAACATGCGGTGCCAACTTTTGCATGATCGGAGGTGGACACCACGACAACAGAAACCTCCACCGGCCCCCAGACAGCGAGATTCACGAAATCAGTGCCATATACCTCGCATGCGTCGTTGTGGCCGTCCTTATGGTCGCACTTCTTGTTGACCCTCTATCAAGGTAACTTCGAATGATGTTAGTCAGTTAGTAGTTTTTAATTCACATTTTTTTAATCTTATAACATCAGATCCTATTTTTAATAAAATTAAAACTAATACGTGGTAGAGGCATGCTGCAGTTATATTATCGTTGCAGCACGAATGGGTTTATGAGCCACAGTATACACTTACCACCAGGTGGACTGTGTGCTTATTTGTACCCTATTAAAAAATATTTATGTTTAAAATATGAAATTAAACATAAAGATGACCTTGACTTTAGTTATTGACTAACGTTTTCTTCATATCGGTCTTATTGGCCATGACGAATTCAGTATACGGTTCAGTATACGGCGCATACTGAATACGTCATGGTAATTATTGAAAATATTACCAATTACCAATTATAATAATTGTTTATTGCAGTCACTCAATTATCTGACTGCCCAAGAAAGAGGGTAACTTTTTCGAATGTATTTATGTTTAATGTGTGATGTCTTTATATTCTTATTTACCTTCTGAGTATCATATGCTACGTTCTATAGTCGGATATTTGTTTTGCTTTTTATAATGTTACTTTTCTTTTGTATTTTAGATTTATATTCAGGTTATAATTTTTTTATTAGACATACAAATTAGACTTTAATACAATTCTTTGTTCAAACATCTGATCAGAAAGTTCGTGATATTTAGGTTTATTAATCATATTTGAATAGGAAAATAATCTCTGAAGGAATGATTTATTTTTCACGATTAATCGATTGATTCATTCATAAATCATTTTTGTTTCGGAGCGAATTGGCGGGGTAGGTAATGTGATTAAAGTGCTGATAAAAATAAATCGTAAAGGATTAGTAATGTTACTGAAAACTACTGTTTTTTTTCTGTCTTCTCTATCCTATATTAATCTATACAGCGTATTTGGAAGCTCGATGCGATGCCTCGAATGAGGCGAAGGATGCTCGATGACGCAACAAGTAATTTCAATTACTAATTAATGATTTTAGGATAACCATAGTTAATGCAATTAGTATAATTGTAATGCCAATAGCCAATAACCCTATGCTGTTTCAATTACCTGTAATAGAATTACAGTACCATTACAGCACGTTAAAGTCCACTGCTGAACATATACCTCCCCCATAGATTGCCTCATATGAGCGATTTTTCCATAGTTGTCACCCTTGGCAAGAGGGTTGGTAACCGCAGTTTTATTTTTATTTGTAGTCGTTATTAGGAGATTTGTTTCTCTCTGTCGTCTTTTACGACAACCACGGGATGATATGGGGTAGTGGATAAACTTACAATGCCAATACGCGGTAATTATGTTTCATTTAATTATTAATTAAATTACAAAAGTAATTACTTACGAACAACGCTGGTAAATTTCATATTTATTTATAAATTATTAACAAAGCCCAATGCAGAGCTTATGTAATTGAAAGAAGAAGAGTAAATATAAACTTAAAAGTCGTAAAAAAAAGAAAACATCTACTTTTTTGATAGGCAATTATACAGACTAAATTTCCAGCGAAGTCACTATCGTCAATTTTTTGCGTGTCATGTGCTACGTTGATTGATATTGTGTCGGGCGTAGAGGCCAACGCGGATGTTTTTTTCTGATCTCACGATCTTCGAACATCTCTCAACAAGTGTCAATGTCTTAGCCGAAGCTTTAAGCTCAAAATTGTTATTCGATTTATATAATATTTCTAACCGTTGCCATACATTTTGAAAACTGACAGATTACGAAATACGTTCGACGTAATTTTATACAAGCTTGATAATTAGGCCTATAATTGTAATTTAAAAAACCACCCGCACTTACTGAAAAAAACCTTACCTCCTTTCTTTGTATTTGCATAATAATATCCTCCAGATCGAATTTCGGTCACGGTGGCCAGCCTCAACGGAGACTAGCCATCAGCGAAGGACAGGATTATAGTGCCCAAGTGTATGCGCAAGCACAGCTGTACTCTCTATTCCCTCACTCTCATAATCCGATGGGACGGTAAACCGACACGGCCGGAGAGAGTTCAGGCGCAGGAGCGATCTGCTTTACATGCATTCCGAGGCACGAGGGTGAGACACCGCCTGTGTTTTCATATGCAATGAATAAATATTATACAGCGTATGTAACTCCCACATTTGGTACGAACCTAACGAAAACCTTATTTCTTAAAGTCTGTCAAACCGTTTAAGCTACAGGGCCTGCCAAAGAAATAAACATATACATATATATACGTACAAACTCTCAAAAACATTACCCTCTTTCTGGAGCAGTCGGGTAGTCACAAAAATATAATAGAAACATTAAACAATTTCCAATACAAATTTTTAAAACAATTTACAAATTTCAATACCGATACTAGTATGTTTTAATCTAATTTAATTTTAATGATTATTTAAAGCTTCCTTGTGCCCTGCCCTCACTGTAAGCATAAATAAGATTTTAAATAAATAACAGAATTTGTGTATTTAGAGATTAAATATATATATATATATATATATATATATATATATATATATCAAATATATATATATATATATATATATATATATATATATATACATATATATATCAAAAGCATTCCGCCCCGACTTCGCCTAGGTGATTACTGGATCTCGAACACAGCGCCACCTACCAGGTGCAATTGTTAAGAAAACCATCCAGGGACCCATTTGAACACACAAAAAATTTCATTAAAATCGGAGCTTTAGCGAGACTAACGGACAGCACTTGCTTTTTATGTATAGAGATATATATTAATATTATTTAGTCAGTTGCCACGAGATCAGGAATCTAACAACGCTTTAATTCTAGGTATGGTGAAAAGCAAAGGAAGTCCGATCCATCTAAAGAGCTAACTGGAATACAGTTGCTGTCAGCAACCGCGTACCAGCTGAAGAAACCTAACCAACAATTGCTTATTCCAATAACGCTCTGGATCGGAATGGAACAGGCGTTTATTGGTGCTGATTATACACAGGTAAATTGACTCTTATACTACGACGTACGTATCCTGTTTTGATAGTTACTAAAACTTATAGATAATATTGTGCACGTAAAAGATTATTCAAAGAAGTATGACACACAATGAAAAGTAGTTATAATAAAATGTGATATACTTTCTGTAAACTTTAAGAATAAACACTAGCTATTGTTACTATGTTATTCGATTCCACAAACTCATTAATATATTCATAGTGCAATGTATTACTCACTTTTATAACAAAATATAAGAAAACATGCGAGATTTGTAGATTACTAAGTTTTAAAAACGTATTAATCATTTATGAATATGTACGTGCTTATTAAGATAAAATTACGTTTATCTACCTCTTTCATTCTAAAGTAGGACTTTGGAAAATAAGCCTTTCTAGGACATAATTATTTTTGAAGTGTCGCTTCTTCAGAAATGGCTTTCAATAATTATTATTATTTAAAATCTATATTGATCAAAATTTACTCTATTCTATTCTATGGGTTTCGATCGTAGAGAGTTCTTGCTGTTCACAAATAAATACATACCATACATTCTATTCACAAGTATGACGAGACAATTTTTTGCGTTCATATATACCGTTAGTACTTTTAAATGCCAACATTCTTATTATTGTAGCAATTGTAAAAATGACGCATTCCACTTCATGTAGGTAGTCATTATGACTAAAAATAATCACCATGCTACTTTTATTATTCTAATACATATACAGTATTATTTATAAATCAAAACAGTTTTTCGTATCTAACAATCCACGTTAGACACGAGCCTCTCCCGTTACAGGAAGGCCGAAAATTTGCCAGTATCACCATGCGATTGGCGATCGTGGAACAGGATTTTTGACAGACACTTTTAATACTGTTCCTTATTGTCCAGTATATTCTTGAATCTGGAGATGGTACACCACAAATCAAGAGATTTCTGTGGCCTCCCCATGGCCTAACGAAATTATGAAATAAGGCAGTAGATTTTCTTACGCTTTATAGTATGATCATTTATTAAACACTTTTTGAGACGCAAATATTTATTGTTGACTAATTATTCCACTCATTAGACCTCTTCCATAGATTGCTTCTTGGAGAGGATTATGCTATATTTGCTATATTTTTCACATTTGGCCAGCGGTTTGTCAACAGCAGTTTTTAATTGTTTTCAGTTCCCATCAGGAAAATGCTGTTGCCTGTCTCTTGTTTCAGTTTCCATATGTCACTTCTTACGGCACCCACGGGTTGTTATGGAGTAGTGGATATTTTTACTAAGCCACGACTACACAGCAAACTCATAAAATTAGTGATACTTATGTTGTAGAACAAAGTTTATTAAATGTTCAACTTTTTGTTACTAGACAACTCAACGAAATGCGGAATAACAGTGTTTTCTTTCAGGCTTACGTCTCGTGTGCACTTGGCATTCGATCGATTGGCTACGTCATGATCTGTTTCGGAGTTGTGAACGCTGTATGTTCACTACTATTCGGATCTGCGATGAAGTTCATCGGGCGGTTTCCTATACTCGTTATGGGAGCAGCTTTACATCTGGGATTAATCGTATGGCTTTTGATATGGAGACCGAACCCTGAATCGCCCACCGTCTTCTTTGTGATATCCGGGCTTTGGGGAGTCGGTGACGCAGTTTGGCAGACGCAGGTTAATGGTAAGTTGCGAGAGTTCATTACTGTTTAATTTATTGTATAATAGCGTATATTTGTATTTTTTTTAGTGTAATATTTCTCTTGTGGTATCACTTGTTACTTACGGGGTAGACCCAGCATTAATATCTGTAACCAGTATCTTCATAAAGACTTTACCTTTTTCCTTTTTATAGAACCAGAAATAAAATATCCTCTGCGTGCCGCAAGTACCGTTCATGTCGGCGTGTTGTTTACATACTAGTGATCCGGCGCGGATTCCAGTGATTTCTGAATCTCAACACAGCGCCAACTAACCTGGTCTAGATACGAATCTAAACCATCTAGGAACTCTTTCAAATACACATAAAAATTTTCATCAAAATTGGTCAAGCCGTTTTCGAGTTTTAGCGAGACTAACATACAGCGATTTATTTTTATATATAGAGATTAGGCGAGTGTCATTTTTTTTAACTCTTTTTGACGCTGAGCAATTAGGGTGATGACGCAAACGTTATTTTAACGAGGTTCGTATTTACTCCATGTTCCTTATCTCCATGTTATTTATTACTTAGACAACACTACCGGGCAAACGAAGTTATTTAATCAGGTGCGATGAATAAAATTATCGGATCTAACAGCGCGATTATTCTCCTTAATGGCTGACGGAGACCATATTGTACATCGGAATAATAATATCGATATTTGATTGAATTAACATACAAAAGGGTTTCACATTTTTAATTTAGATTGTAAACAAAAATAAAACAAGCTTATGTGAATCCTGTGGTCAAATAAAAAAAATGTTTCAGTTATTATCATGACAAAAAAATTGTTAACAGCCAGTAAGTAATTTTTATCTCACATGAATTCAACAAAAATTGTTTGAAAAATTAAATTTAACCTGTGATCGCATATGACTATTCAGATAACTAAATGAATCTTTTTTTTTTTTCAATTAATTAAAAAATTAGCAAGTCTATTTTTAATTCACAAATCAGTTTACTACTACACTATGTGTGTAATACTCATATAACTCATATTATCGTATTCAAATAGCAAATCCTAGCCTATACATAATAGGTTAACATCGCGAGCATGTCGGTATCCGCATTTTTTTTATAGAATAAGGGTGACAAAGGAGCACACAGTTCACCTGATGGTAAGTGGTTGGTGTGGCCCATAGACATCTACGTCTATCTTCGTTTGCGAATTAAAATGCATATGCGTTGTCAGCCGTGAGGACTAAGATAGAATGCCTCTATTCCAGCTAAATGGGTCTCCGGTTCTCTACACTCACCATACAAAAAACAACAGCTTAATGCTGCTGTTATTTTACGACGGTATTCTGTGAGAGCGTGATCCCATTCGTGCTTCAACTATACTATTAATATAGCTGCAGCATAGCTCTACTCTCTAATATAATATAAATGCCATTTACATTTTGATTTGTGGTAAGAATATGTATTTATTTACAAAATGAATGGCAGAATCAGAGAGCTCGTTATCAAAGAGCACGTTTTAGTATATTATATAATTTTCATTATCATTTTAAACTTTCATTTTTGAATAAAACTAACGAAAATATCCCAAAACGATGTAACTTTAAATTATATTCTATTAAGAAAATGTATTCAAAAAAAAACGTTGATTAAATTAGTGTTACCTTTAAAATTCACAGTAGTTTCATATAAATTTCAAACAAGGACGAATATAACTGAAATAGACTTTTATTGTTTGAAAAATTCCGTTATGATTCTAAGCAGAAAACCCAACAAGTAATAACATATAATTACACCTAATATACCTTTTTAAAAATATTTACTAATTTCCTTAAATGAATATCGCTTAGCGTATTAGAGTTAGACATTAAAAAATTTGAAAATTACACTGGTTTAGACTTTATAAAACGACCAAATTATCTGTAATCATTGCGTATCAGGAAAACGAATTGCACAGGTGATGAAAAACTGCGCGTAATTACGTGGGCAATTTCGTGAGTAAGGCTAACGTGGGAATGGGCGATTGTTCGTCGCGGTAGGGTTAACACTGATAAACACGGACGAAAGGCCTCAGCACGGATTGTGGATTCATTAAATGTCATTATATAAATTTCCGGTGTGCGTGTGTGCGTAATTCTACTCCTCCAAAACGGATTGATAGATTTTGATTAAACTTTAATATGATATTTAGGTTGTCACCTGGATGGTTCATAGCTATAGCTGGAACCTACCGGTTCGCTGTTATCGACATCCAGGAATTTCAGAAATTGCACTTGCTCTTTTCAGCATTCTGTTGTTATAAGAAACCCTTTGTTCTATCCGTGTGTCACAAGCAATATATATACATTCTATTTTGGGTTTTTAATGAAGGGAAGTATTCAACAAACATAACATATATAAAATGTATATGATCTTCCAGTAAACATTTTTACCCGAGTTCAAAAAGGGTTCTAAATTCCACGCATAAGCATTGTATGAATTTTTTTTTAAATAAAGGTGACAAACGAGCACACAGTGCATCTGGAAGGTAGATGCTGTAGCCCATAGACAGCTACATCTATTCTCAATTATAAATAAAAATGCTTAAGATGAAATGCCCTGTATCTAATGAAAAAGGTCCCCGGTTCTATACACTCACCATACGAACCACAGCAGTATAAAGCTGTTATTTTACGTTGGTACTCTGTGAGAGCATGCTTCTTGTTCAATTGAAACGACCTATTTGTGCTATAATCATAATATAGCTACAGCGTGGTTCCACCACATAGAAATGTATGTTCACTGATTTCTCGGAAACGGAATCAAATTACGGAACGAAACTAAATTAATAGAGACCCAATACAAGTTTGAAGAAAAATCCTTTGTCTGAATGTGCAAAAATAGGGCCAAAGTTATTGATGTAACTACTCGTATTTAGATAACATTCTAGTTTTGCTACCTCAAACGTGTTACTTTCCTTAGTCCATTATAAGGGTAAGAAAATTAAACTTTTAGTCAAAAGAAAAGAACCGACGTCAAGAACTAAAAAGAATTTAATTAAAAAATTCATTCATTTCTGAGATTCAGAAGTCGGACCTTTAATACTTGATACACCATCCCGTAGCAACGCCATCTGAAGCTATAACCTAGAAATTATTTTATTCTTTTTAGTTTTTAAAGAAAGTTTATTAATAAATGAGGAGGTTGAAAATAGTTTAGTGAGTGGCACCTATCCATACGAAATCCTAGGCAGAAACCTAGTCGTAAAAAAGTCATAAAAATATAATTCTAACTGTCGATGTATGCTGTTAAAATACTGCCATATTACATGCTTTACTATATTAAAATCAAAATTCATTATCAGAGAACTGGTAAATATAAAACTAACTTATTATATAACAGTTTTCATTCTATTCATTTCAAAACATTCCAAAGTCTTTGTTTCTAGAACACCCATATACATGGGTACTATATCTAGCCTAGACGAGCGCCTGCCGCTTTGCTTGCGCTTCTAGAACTAGTTTCAACTGAACGCTCCTGACTCGGAGGTACAACGACCAACTTACGAATCGAAGCTCACCCGCGCAATTCGCTCTGAGAATATTTCTCGCTCTGAGAAACTCGCACTGACTATAATTAAATGTGAGAAGCTGCCAGATTGCGGTAAAAATTTGTAAAGTTATAGGCATAATACAATTAACTTACACTTGGTAGCGCGCGTGTCATACTGACAATTTATTTAAGAGTTAAAGATTATTTGATTTCAATGATTGTATTATCATTTCTATAAATACAACTCTTTCAAATTTAAAACCATATTTCCACAACTATTTTTTTCCAGCTAGTTAAGAAATAATATGTAATTAATAGTATGCGGTGCACAACGATGTTTACATCAAAATCCTAATTCTAGCCTTGACGAATATAAAATCAAGTCGTTAATTATAATTCGGCGAACATTATTAATAACAAACATCTTTAGAATACATCTTGATGATAAATGAGCAACGACGGGGTCATTATTAACCCCGTCAATGCTTATTTATAACTGTGTACTGTTAACGCTAACTTTATGCTAAATTCGTTTGTGTGGCATTTATCTTCATAAATATTGTATAAAGAGAAAGTTATTTTTTATCATAAAATTTGCATGGCTCTGTCTATGCGAAATATTTTTGTTGCCATTATGTACTTATATTTTTATTTATATAACGAAAGTAGATAATGTATTTATGTATAAAATAATATTATATGACTTACTAATATACATTATTATACAGAATGAAATATCAGCTTAATGCTGCTGTATATGATGAGTATAGAGAGAACCGGAACACTCCATAAGACTAAGATGAGATGAATGAATGAATGTAGATGTATGTGGTACACAGTATCTGCTCACCATCAGGTGGACTGTTTGCTTGTTTAATAAAGGTGGCAAAGGACGTTCTTCGTAAACGCCTACTAACCTAAAGTATGTCTAGCATACATTCTAAGTAGCCGCCACTCACACTCATGACACTTTACATATTATAATAATGTCAGCCAGATTACTCACTCCTACTCTAACGGATGAGTAAATTAATCCCGCATCGGAGAGCTGACGTTCAGATCCGACATATTGAGCATCATCATAGTTTCTCATAATTTCGTCAGTTCCCTAATCATCGTTGTCATCAGCAAGCCTTTTATGTAACTGGCGGTATTACGGCTGCTTCCGATAAATAGAATAGAATATATTTTATTCATAGATTAAATAACCTCTGTCCTGGAAAGAACCAGCAAAAAATCCAGCGAGACTATTTTAAACATTAATTTACAACAGATATAATATGCTATACAATTAAATATCGAAACAGAAACAGCTCGGTAGCGTTCACCTCATTCCCGTTTATTATGACTCAGATGGGTCCGAGTAAAAGCCTCATGACTAACAAAACGAATATCACCGTAAAACTTCGTCTATAATACAAGGGCGTAGTACCGTCCACGTTGAATTCGAGTACTCCACCATGAATATCGTTCCCCCATCAGACGTTAGGGTT